CACATTTGACTCAGTGGCACAAAGATTGTCTTCTGAGAGTCTTAATGTGGTTGCTTGGTCCTGATAATGGAGCATAATTAATGGCTAGATTATATTTATATCTGCCCTCTGTTGATTGTTTGAGCAAGCCCAGAGCAGCAATTTAGATGTGAAATCACTTTAATCTGTTTTCTGCAAAGACAGCAGAGATGTCATAAAAGCTAGTGCAGTAATAAAACATTTTTTTTCCACAAATTGTTCCACAAATTGTTCCAACATATATTTTTCACATTTTGAAAGAAGTGGTCAAAGGTTTGTGGACACCCTAACACAAACCCCTAATGCAAGCATTGATAAGTAGTTTGAAAAATTCTTTTAGTAAAGCAACATAAAAGTATAATGTTTCAAACCTAGTAAGGATTCCACAAGAGATTGTTCAGATTACATTTGGTAAGGTTATTTCGAGCATCATGGATGTTAAATCCTCAATGGTGACACTGTCTTGGGTCTATTTGTTATTTTGTTTTATAGTGACTCCCTTTGGACATATGTACTCTAAGATTTGATGATGTTTTGTTGCAGGAAGTCCTGTTTGGTTCTACATGCAAGTGGCTCCCATCAGGAATGAGAATGACAAGGTGGTGCTGTTCCTCTGCACTTTTAAGGACATTACCCTCTTCAAGCAGCCCATCGAAGATGAAACTACTAAAGGTGGGTGTTTTCACACTGCACAAATGTTTCTCTCCTTTTGTTGAAGATAAGTTTTGTGTGGAGGACGACGGAGGGCCCAAAGTCTTGACAGATTTGAAAACCTGACGCTCCCTAGTGCAGATGATGATCAGCTTGGTCCTCTGAACCACTTGAAAAGATTGTGTTGTGTTTCTGGTTTATTAGACAGCAACACACTATGAAGAATAACAGCAGAGCAGTGCAGGGCATGACATGTGACAAAATGTCTGAGAGCAAAAGAAATTAATACATGGCTGGATGCTCCAATGCAATCTAACGCCACTTGGCTTGTGATCGGACGTGTAATTAGCTTTCTTCATCCTTGTCCTTCAACAGCTTTTTTCTTCCTTTCTCTCCATCTCCTTCTGCATATGTACACTCCTACACTTTATTATTTTCCTTTTATTACTTGATGTTTCTCTAAACTTCCTTCACCTTATCTGTAACTTTTCTTTATCATTCTCTACCTTTTCTTGCCCTTCATTTACGGTACTGACTTTCTCTTCCTTATCCTAGTTTCTTAGCTTTTCCTCCTCGTTCTTGCATCTTTTTCTTTGAACACCTGTTTTGTTTATCATCCTTCTCTCTCTTCTTCTGTTTTGCTCAGTCATCGTCTTCGCCTTTCATTGAATTCTCTCTGATATTCTCTGGTTACTGATTGCTACCTCCGTTACATTCTCTGTGTAATTATGCCCATTATTCTTTTTATCCTTGCTGGCACAGTGCATTCCAATACCAGTTGGCTGACTGGTCCACCACTTTTGCTTCAAACTGCAGCTTTAGAGGTTTTTCCCCCTGGGGCCCTCATGATGTTGACACTTGTTCTTTTTTCTCAGTGGATGGCTGTGAAAATGGATACTCAAATTTACATTACCCTCAGGAAATGCCTGATATCGTTGGTGATCTGTTGACTTATCGGTATGTGCCATCGTCAGGCAAAATTTATCTGTCTTATTATCTCCAAGTTAATGTGATTTCTGTTAGTCTGGCCTGCACTTTGTGTTAAGTTCCAATTAGCAAATTAGTCTCAATTGTCATCCACCTCATCCTTCTGCTCCCTTTGACTCTGCGTACCAAACTCTCCTCTGTCCTTTCTCTCACGCTGAGAAGTCTCAGAAGATTAGTACTTGCTACAAACCTTTTTCCTTTCTTTTGTTTTTCATCCCAAGCTGAATGTGAAAAAAGGAACATGTCAAGTCTCCCTGCAGTTTCCCTGCAAAGCTGTCAGGTTGTGTTTGACAAGGTTCTGATGCTGTCAGGAGTCACTGGAGGAGTGGGTACCGGTGTTATCCTCCGTGCCCTGACTGATGTACAGTGTCAGCTCCCCGCCTTGGGAGTCAGTTCTGGTGCTGCCATTCTGGTGTGTTTTCCCTTTTTACAAGGATCATGCACCCTTCCCCCTTCATTGATATACAGGCACCTGTAAACATGTGCGCACACATGCACTGATGTACTCCTGCCTCCTCGCTGCAAAGATCTCCTCACTGTTCTCATGTGTGTTTCTTTTAATTAATTAATTTAAAGTGTTCTCAGCGACATGAAAAACATGGCCTGAATCAAAGCAATCGAACGATCGAAGCCTTAGTGGATCTATTCGTCACATTAGCGTGTTGACATCTTTGTGATTTAGCTGTGGCTGCTGCCTCTGACAGTGTGACAAACTTTGCTTAACATTTTGACAAAGTGAGGCATCAAGTTTTATGCAGTATGAGTGTACTTAGCTTATCCAAGTTAAAGTATTTTTGTACAGTAATGGTGCTGTAGAGAAGCTCTAAAAATGTTGTATTAAAGTATTCTCACAAACATTACAGTTGTTACATATTAATAACCCCAAAGCTATGTAGAATCTGAAAAAGCAGTGGCACCAAATTACTGAGTTGTTCCCTCAGTTATGCCGTAACAGTATTCAATCAGGGCTTTTTTCCAGGAAGCAGGTTCATCAAACTCTGAGTCTAGCCATAAGATCAGAGTGAGTCCAATAGACTCTGAGTATGATCATCTTGAGTTAACTACATGCATGCGTAGAGAAAAAAGCTCCTCGTCTGTGGAGCTGTAATAACACAAGTTATAATTATGGGTAAATTGTACCAGTGCTGAATATGAACATGTGCCAGTAAGGCCCAGAATATTGATTTAAGAAAATAAAAATAAAAAAGGGGAAAGTTTAGTTCACTCTGTCATCATCAGACACAGAAAAAGTTGCATACAAATATTTAAATTTTTCGTGCTCTCCATGGTCACCATTTATCTTAGCTAACGTGAGTTTTCATTAGCTAAAGCTGCAATCTTAATTTGACATCACAGTTTGTGATTCCATCTAATTATTCAGCAAGTTAACAGAGGAAAAATGTAGGTGACAGAAGCTGAAGATAAAAACATTGACTGACACATCAGACATGTAACAGTTTATGGCCACTTCATTTAAAAAAAAAAAGAAATTCAATCAGCATTTTTAATGTTAGAGGATTTAATTATTTCTTCCATTACTGGATAAAAATGCTTAATGAGATTTACAGAAAAACGATGCTTTGTTTCCCAGTTTAACCTTTTTTTAATCTGATCTAAGATCAGCCTTTACTGATAGCTGATAGCTGTCATACAGTCAGTAGTAACTGTTTCACATTTAACTAAAAAAATGCAGCTTTCCAAGTTTTGTAAGACACGTGTAAGCTTTTATAGCGCTGTCTACTGTACATCAGCTAGATTTGACATATTTCATTATAGCTTTGGCGAGATGGCCTATTTCAACCCATGAGAAACCAAGGTCACACAGGTGTTCTTGTTAAAGTTTCAACACTGACTCTCCCATAGCTTTCCTGACAGTAAAAATTGGTCTGGGCTCTTACGGGTTAAAATCAGGAATACAGACAAAATAAGCCCGCCTTGATTCACCTGAATGGGAAGAGCTGGGAAATGACCTCATCTGAAATAGATCTGGGCCTGATCTGGTCTGAATCTATGATCTTTATCCATTTTGGATCTGCACTGGATAGTTTCACTTTTCCTGTACGCCATCCTATGTTAATCTCAGGAAAATCTCAGTCGATCAGCAGTTTCTCAAACCAGCCTGCCTGGTACAAACAACCATGCCACATTCAGAGTTACTTAAGTCATATTTCTTCCCCAAACTGACACTCGTGACCTGCTGCCAGGTGATTGTCTGACTATATAGTTATGTTAACAAGTTGAACAAGTGTACCTGATAATAAAGTGGATGAATATTTACTGCCAATAAAGAAAATGCATTTTCATGTCTGTCAGTTTTGGATGGTATATTAAAAGTTTTTTAAAGTCATAGTTCATTAAAAGTCAAAGCAATGCTTTGTGTGTATAAAACACAACACAAATTTATTTACAGTTAATATAAGTTCAAGCTAATGTAAACAGGGTTGGTTTGAGCAGAAAACAGTTTAGCATTTAATACTTTTAATCTTTTAATTTCTGACATTTCAACATGAAAATAAACATATTGTTAAAAAGGAATGGACTATTAAAGATATGGCTTCTTGTTCTGGACATGCATGTAAGTGCGTATAGTTTGACCTTTTAAAAGACAATCTCCTTGGTAACAAAGCTCCACCTCGCAGGTGGTGGTTTGACTGGCATACTCCAACTTCAGACCAGCTAGTGCACTGTGGTGTATTTCAGTACAGTACAGCTCATTAGAGGCCACAGAGAGGATGCAGCCTTTGCCTGCTGTGCCACAGAGCACACAGGGGCGTACTGGGTTCAGCAGTTTAGCCCGCCTGGTGATAAGGGGGGTGGGAGAGGCCGTTTGTAGGGAAGGGAGATTCGCTGCTGCAGGCGTTGGTGGAGTTGGCTCGTGCTGCAGACTAAAATTCACTCTGGGCTCCGTCTCCGGCTGCTCCCACAGCGCGGCATGCCACAGCATGTCAGCGTCATCAGAGTGGGAGATATTGCAGTAAAAATCTAACAGGGGATTTCAAATTCATTGTGTGCTTTCTTGACACCGTGCCCCCGTTTCACCTAAAAATAAACCATTTATACACATTTATTGGTCTAAAACCTGGATGTTTCTGCATGTGAGAAGAGATTTGTATTCTTTCCTTCATGTTTCCACTTAAACTGAGCTTTAAATGGTGCTTCTCCCACGAACCTAAAACATCTGGATCGAGACAATTTTCTTTGCACGTGGCTGATTGTGGTTATCAAGGTGAACCAGCTGGCCGGTGCTTATTCGTCTCAGTATCATCCACTGACTGAAGCAGTAAGAAAAAAAAGAGGAAAAAGAAAACACAGGAAAGCAGAACTATTAAAAAATAATGGTCACTGTGTTGTTGTTGTTTTATGGTAGAGTGGCTGTGTTGACTGCTTTGCTTTGTCAGCACCTGTGAGTGCTTCACAAAGTGCTGTTACCTCAGCCTCAGGCGAGACAACATTTCAGGCTGACGGCTGATCACAATGAGTGACGAGTACTGTGGCAGGAACACAAGTGCCTCAGGCACTAAGTGTAATCCTTCAGTTTTTTTAAACCAATAGTTTGATTTAGTTTGACCAGTAACAGTTACCTTTACTCAAAGTGGTTTTGTGCTGTGGAAATTACAGTTCGGTCTGTTGAGAAGATCGGAAGTCTTTTTAAATGGTGACCTTTTTTTAAGGAATACAATATTTGAGAATGTGGAAGACATTTAATTGAATTGTTCTTCATTGTGTTTAAAAAATGCATAGATTTCATTTCATTTGTTGGAAATCTATCTGTGGTAGGTGTGGCTTGGGGCTCAGCTGCAAGGGAGGCTGAGACACACCGGAGCTCCGTCAGCCAATTACGTCTCCCCTATAAAGAAATGTACCGGGACCTGAGTTGGGGTTGTGCGTGTGGCTAGCAGCTGAAAAGCTGCGACCGTGTATTAAAGGCACGAACAGCCAAATAAAAGGGGTCAAAACGTGTGAACTGTGTGGTCGGGTTCGTCACTCTGTCTCACTATCCAAGTTAGTTAATTGTAATCCATCTTTGGGTGAGA